CCAGTGGAAAGAAGATCGGGGTATACCACGCTAAGGACATTTTTGCTTGTGTGACGGGACTTAGACCGTCGAAGTGCCACACTTGGTATTAGGATATGGGTATTAGTTGACTTTGACATTTGGACAGTGGACGTACGGACCAACACCCCCACAATGACCTCACCAAGGCAACACCAACACACACCAAGCATATTCATATATCTACTTACATACATAAAAAAATATCGATATTGTGTGTACATAAATACCTTTTACAGTGTAAAAAAAAAAAACAAAACAAAAAAAAAAACTGCAAATAAACAGAGAATTTATTTAGACAAATCGAAAAAAGTGGAATTTTTCTTTAGCTAGAAGTCTTTGATTCGTGGTATTCTTATTTAAAGCTGAATATATATAACTTCCTATTTTATCACTTTTTATTCTATATATACTTAGGCTCCTATTATTAATCATTTATATTTTCTTTACTATCTCAACTGCGTTTTAATTTTCAATTTTTGCGTTTGAATCAGATACAAGTACATACCCATATTGAATTATACTTTTAGATTGAACTATAGTTCTATTATTTGCAATCTTTATGCATTTGTTACTATTATTATTATTTTTTCATTAATGTTATACAACCTTTCGTATTGCTGCTTTACATTTTTATTATCATATTTTTTTTATAATACTTATTTTTTTTTTACATTACCATTGGATTTTTTTTTTGTTGCTTATATTGAATTGAACGGGATTATATCGAGTTTCCTTTTATTAAAAGTTTTTTTGAATCTCTGTGGAATTGCACAGTGTTTGTGCGCGTTATTTTTGGATTTTTCTTTGTACTTTCGTGGGGAAAACATTTTTTGCATAAGTATCGTTGCTTTTGAATCATAAAGACCGACCATCGGTTTTGAATTTAAGGCAAATAGTGTGAATGGGTGAGCGAGAAAGTGATGATATAGAGCCTGGGTTAGGACTGCTGAACTCGAATCGTAGGGTCACTAGAAGCGGCATTAGAGAATCAAATCGTTGGTTCTCTATTTACCCAGATTGACACGGGGATTTCGTTTCCGGTAGATTTCGTGCCTACCGATTATTTCAATAGGTGCACAGCCAGGGTATTTGGAGCGTAAGGCCGAGAAGTTAATCGCCCATCAGTTAGAATAGCTGACGAGGTGGCAATCAATACCTCAAACAACAGCATTAGTTTTTCCCGTTGGACGAAATATTAGAGATGTCCGAAGAGGATCAGGTAAATATGCCACCCAGCGACTCAGCTGCAGGAGCCTCGAAATCCGCAGATGGTGGACCAAGTTCATCCGCAATCACAGTTGAACAGCTGAGCCGAATGATGACAATGATGGCGCAAAATGGGGACATGTTGTCCCAGTGCATGAACGAAGTCCGACACATGGGAGATAACATGGCAAGTTTGAGTGAACGATTGGATGGGGTGGAAGCCTCCACGCATACACCGGAAACTCGACCAGGCCAGGCGTCCACACCAGAAAGTAGAGGTGAGAGGCGAGCAGATACGGACCGAGACACAAACAACGATGGAGCCAGAGGGGAAAGCCAATCATGTTCCCGCAACGAGTTGAGAGCTTGGAAAAAGATCGATCTCGATAAGTGGCACGTTAAATTCGATGGGTCCTCAAAAGGCATAACGGTAGAGAGCTTTCTTTTTAGGGTTGAAAAGATGCGCGAGCAATATGGCATTTCTCACTAT